GTGAAAGTTTCGCAGCCACTGGGAATCATCCCAGACCTGCAACACTATGCGGCCCCACCAGTCTGTGCTGGTTTCCTGAGCCCAGAATCGGCATTCCACAGCATGAACCTGCCCCATTAGCACCATGATGCATGCATTGGCTGGACCCATGCTTTGAGAGACATCTGTGTCCATGTCCTGATCACTCACGTGACCTCGCTGACGTCACCTACTCGCCCGGTATCGCTCTGCCAGGTTCTGGTGCTGCACATACTGCTGGATAATGCGTGTGGTGTTTAATGTGCTTCTAATTGCCAAAGTGAGGTGAGCGGCCTCCATGCTTGCCTTGGTATGGCGTCCGCTCAGAAAAAAGGCATAGAACGATTGTCTGCCTTTGCTCTGACGGAGGGAGGGGCAACTGATGACACGGCTTACAGAGCTGGCTTCAGGGAGCTAAAATCAACAATGGGGGTGGCTTTACATCAAGGAGTATTTCAGGCAGGACTTCACGGAGGGTTCCAATAAGAAATGGTGCACCTAAGTTATTGTTCTTATTGGAACAAGGAGGTTAGTCTGGCCTCTGATTGATACATGACTAGATTTACTTCGCTGCACCTTCCCTGTGAGTGACCGCAGTGTGACCTAGAGGAATGAGTCCCCTAGATGGGGGGGGAGGGGGGAAGCAAATGAGTACAAAACAAATCTGGTCTATTTCTTGTTTTTATACACTCCATCTATCTTTTACATCTTTGGCTGGCAGCAGACGGTGCAGAAGGACTGCATGCCATCCTCATCTCTTGCCTGCCTGGCAAAAGATGGTACAATACGACTGCTAGCAATCCATATCGCCTGCCTGCTCACCATAAGATGGTTCAATAGGACTGACTGCAGGACTAAAGAGAATGACTTGATCAAGTCACTCCAAATTTAGTCCCTGCGCCCATGTCTGTCCAGGCGCTCCCGGCCGACGGAGCCAGGAGCACCTCGGACATGACGATGATGGCTGCCAGTCCTATTGCACTGTCTGCTGCCACAAGGCAGTGGGTTGCTGCTACTGTCTAGCAATGCAGTACCATGTCTGCCAGCACCCAAGAGACATACGGTGACGGTTACCTGAGCGGGCTCCATTCTTGCCGTGGTATGGCGTCTGCACAGGTAACTCAGGAAAAAAGGCGCGAAACGATTGTCTGCCCTTGCTTTCACGGAGGGAGGGAGGGAGGGAACGGGGGCCTGACGATATGTACCCAGAACCACCCGCGGCAATGTTTTAGCCCCATCAGGCATTGGGATCTCAACCCAGAATTCCAATGGGCAGTGGAGACTGCGGGAACTGTGGGATAGCTACCCACAGTGCAACACTCCAGAAGTCGACTCTAGCCTCAGTACTGTGGAAGCGCTCCGCCGAGTTAATTCACTTAATGCACTTAGAGCATTTTCTGTGGGGACACACTCACTCGAATATATAAAACCAATTTCTAAAAAACTGACTTCTATAAATTCAACCTAATTTCGTACTGTAGACATACCCTTAGCTTACAATCCCAAGCCTCTTTAGCCAACATTCCCAAAAGTGCGCTCTCTCTCTCTCTAGCTTTTTCCAGGTCACACTGTGTTTACCAGCTGCTGCTTGGCCTTTTTCTGTTTCTCTCAGCCTCTCTCTGTTCTTGTCTGTTTAGTTCCTATGTGGTCTGTCTTTCTCCTCACCCCCTCAATTTAGCAAAATCCCTCCATTCAGTCCAAAATTCCTGAGCGGGTTCACAACATGCTTTTGTCTTAGGTGGGGGACTTCTGATTAACTTATCCTGACACTTATGTCAGCTGAAGGATGCCTTTATACCCAGTCTCAAAGAGGTTTGTGATCCAGTCAGTCTCCAGTACCTCTCAGCATAACAATATTTTCAAGTTAGCACTTTTACATTTCAGCAAGTACCATGTTCTTATTTCATTATTTTTGGACAGACATCATCAGTGCCCAATGGGTTTAGTGATTTGGGAATTTGCTGGCTGCCTACTTTTATATTCTGGGCTGAAACAGAGTGAGGTCTCTGTCTTTGCACTGCACAAAACATTTCCCCTCTTTCTTACATCAAGAGATCAGTGGTCCTCTTGATATAGCTACATGATTTATAAGCAAATTAAATAATTGCCCTCTTACTGACAGGAACACAAAGTAAAACCAGTAACCTGCCTCCAGCAGTGGACAGTTATTATTTTTAACAAGGTTACAGTACAGTAAGAGGATGAGAAAATCAGAAGGAATCCTAGATTTAAATTCCACTGAGCCAGATTCTGACTTCATTTAAACAATTGTAAATCCAGAGTAATTTAATTAAAAACAATGGTGCCATTCAGTCAGCTCTAGCAAAATCAATGGTGTTAATCCAGATTTACATGGCAGTAATTGAAATCTAGATCCAGCTCACTGATTGTATGACTTGAGGTAATTAATTTGACCTCCTACAGCCTTAATCAATCTAGTTTAAAATTGATTAGACTTAGAATCCCTTTGAAAAAATCAGATGTTGTGTATTTAAAAAAGCCTTCTCTTGGAGGAAGGAAATTACAAAATGATTTCTCTGTAGTATCTTGAATTTTTAGAAAAATTATAGTCAATTTTCCTCTTCTAATCCAGTCTATCCAAACAAGGGAATCAAAGCAACAGATGTCTTGTTAAGAAAAATAGTCTGAGATGTAGATGCCAGCCATTATAAGCAATCTCTAATCTGCTACAAATTAAATGTCCAAATCCTGTTTTGTGTGTGCTAAATGGAGGCATTAATTTTTGCAAGGAAAGCCGCTTACAACCCAGACATTTCTCTACTATCCATTCTTCTGAATCTTTGGAGCATCTCCAGACTTTCTGCTTACATGTAAGATACAACAGTAACATTTGTGGTATGAAAGCTATTTGACTACAATATGAACTATTTAAATAAGTGAGTTTTACATTACGTTCATTAACTTTTATCCACAACATTTCAGTAGCCTTTCCTTTATTACCTAGGCTCTCTCATGAAGGATAATCTTTGGTTAAAACAGATCTCCTTAATACATAAAAACAGAAGAATTTTTCTTGGGTTATCACTGTTTATTCTTTCAAGCATGCATCATAATAGTGCAACAAACTGGAAAAACCACCAATTTTCAGACAAACCACATTTGTGAAGTTGCATTTAAGACATCTTGACACACATTTGTAGCTAGTCTGACCATCACTAAGGCAACATTTTAGTCCCAGGTATTTTTAGTAAAAGTTATGGACAGGTCACAGGCAGTAAACAAAAATTCACAGCGCGTGACCTGTCCATGACTTGTACTATATACCCCTAACTAAAACTTGGGCCAGGGGGCCGTGGGTTCTCTGTGGGGGCAGGCCAGGGGTGTGCAGGTGCTGGGGACCCTGCTGGTGCTGGGAGGGGCAGGCAGCGGCATGCAGCCCAGGACCCACGCTGATCTCTCTTTACAAGCTTTTGATAGTGCTCTTTTAGGTCTATTATAGAAGCTTTAGGGAAATGGAAACTATCACCGATGGCTGACATAGCAGCATTCCTGCCTTAGTTTACCCAGTATTTTCTCTGACTCATTCCAACTGTCTGGCCAAGCCATGTAACAAAGTCCAACCTTTTTGGGACCTCAGAGTCTGTCACTTAATGTCTACAAACATAGGAAAACAACCAAATCTTCAACCTAGCCAGGCTTGGCTATTAGCCTCCTCCTTCGCAGGCTAACCCCAGCTGCAATAAACTGTCCAAACCCTATTTCCTAGGCTTCAACCTCACTACCTAGAGGCTAGCATACTTTCCCTTTACCCAGGTTTTCAGGCAGGCTATAGTCCCTGACTGGCTCCTGTCTTCAGCTAGGCCATAGGACAATTTGTCTCCTCAATTTTCCCCACTGCTGGGGTTCCTTCCTCTTAAATCCAACCCTATACAGGTGTAGCAGGGTGGGGTTAACAGAATAGGGCTGACTGTCCCAAAACCTTTTACCCTTAAAAGGGGCACGCCACCTTGTTACAGAAACATTTTACTCGTTGTTGCAGTAGTACCGTCTTGTCATTTAGCTTCCTGAGTATTTGCTACCCTCTCTTCTCACAAGGAAAAGATCTAACATGTCTAAAAAGAAACAAATCTTGGCCCATCTTCCTGATACCTCATAGGTGACTGGTCATCAGTTCAAGCTTCCCTCTAAGCCCTCACCACCTATCATGGGTGCCAGCTACAACTTAACACTTCGGTATTCCTATATTTCCACATATATAACCAAAAATTGTGTACTGTGTTATGGCATTTGGGTTGCTACTTCATGCAGTGGCCCTTGCCACATCCATTCATGCTTGCATTCATCCTGCAGATGTCCTTGCTACTGATTTTTTCCACCATCCAACGAATTACTAAACATCTGGAGAATGGATTGTGACTGGAAAGAAAATACAGATGATGCTGTAATGGTGATAGTTGTAAATGTCTTGGTTTTCAACAACTAGGAAGGCCCCATATAGTCCACAGCATGGAAATAGCTATGGAATCTATGTTTTGCAGCCCAAGTACTTATCTATCTGAGATGGTACGCATGTACACAGGGTGGCCAGCCCCTCCCGCTGCTGTTCCACTTCCAGCTTGAAGTGCAGACATACCCTGTATAAGTAACCTTCATTTCTTGTGTATGTCTATCCTGATTATATTGGGTAAGTTTGTTTGCAGGTCAAATTCAGCCCCAGTGTAAGTAGGTGCAAGTTCCTTTTGCTTCATTGCATTTGCTTATGCTAGAGATGAATTTGGTCCATAGGCTTTGGATAGATTCTGCCTAGAAGAATATTTACCAATGGAAGTCATATATATGATTATCTCAATTGAAACAGACAAGTGATTTCTAAAAGAATCTCTCTAGCTTTAAATTTCTTTTACTGGTAAACTTGCTCAATCCTAGGCTGTAGAATGTTATCATATACCAAGAAGACATTTTCTTATTTATATTCACATTACCGTTTCCATAGACTAATGTACTAACTCTTTTTTTCCAAGGTTTTTCACTGCATTCAGGCAAGCTGTATAGATCTTCTAAAGACTATTGAGAAATACCAGCAGAGACTCAATGGTATGCGATAACATATGTATTTTAATTTTGTGTAATAACCATCATTACTTTTTTTTAATATTTTGAATTTAAATCCATTGTTAAAACCAGATAACTGTTTAATCTAAAACAACCTTCTGGCATATTTGAAATGGTTTTTAATTTCTAGAGAATGTCACTATTTTAGTGTAAACCCCGAGTGCCAAGATTTGGGATTTCTTGATAGAATACATTAATGCTACCTGTATTTGTACTAATGGCAGAAAATGAAGAACTCCGTTATATGGCTAATTTAACTCGTTCTAGTAGCCCTAATTCTTGAGGCTATCATTGAACTAAGGGAAGCCATTACAACTATTAGAAAACATGACCAGTGGTTTATATAAGACTTAATTTTAGTTTCCCTAAATTTTCAGAAAAGCTCCTCCCTGTTTATGAAAGTAAATGATTTTAAATAAAATTGTAAGTTTTTCCAACTGAAAGTGTGGCGCAGTATTATCTCTATAAAGTTCTACGGATAGTACAAGTAACAAAGGATAGTAAAATTAAGTTTTAGACCCTTAGCAGACAAGGATCACTGATTAAAGTTACATCCTTTATGAATCAGAGTTCAATTAAAAGTATTTTTAAATGTAGTAATAAATTACCATAAACAACAAGATACTAATGACTAAAGTCTTTTGTTCAGCATGTCTCTATATTCTTTATCTGTGTCTCCTACACAAGAGAGAGTCTCAGATGCCCAACTGTGCCACATGAAAAAGTATTTGAGAAGTCTGATTTGGACATTTGTGTGTTTTACTTTAAAATGTATTCCTTCTTTCCCTCCTCTCCCCCCCAATACATACCATATCAACTCTAAATGCTGTAAAACCTAAAGATCTTTTTATGCATCTTATCACTTTGAACAATAATGTGCTTGTTTTCCCACCTTCTGGGGACTATTCTTAATAAGATTAAATACATTGGAAGTGTTAGTTTATCTATTTATATTGTGCAATTATTTCCTTTTATAGTTACGTCTGACGAGGAAAATGAGCTAGGGCTCCTTTTAAAGGTTCAAGGAGAGCAAGATGCTACTAAAGCTGGCAAAATGATGGAAGCCACTGGAAAGACCCTCTGTTCTTCTGCTCAACAAAGGTTTTCAATTATTTTATGTAGTCTTTCTTCAAGTTACATTTGGTGCTATTAATATAAAGTTATGTACATGGAATAATGCACCTGTTTGGTGCTTTAAGATTCTGAGGTTAGATCCACAGAAAGCAAATATAATTTTATGTAAAACAAACAGACTATAATAGAAAAAATAAATACAGAAAATACAAATAATCAAGAAGTACAGACAGTACAATCAGTGTAATTTAAATTGCAAATATAAATATAGAATTGAACTGAACTTACAAATAAAACATACTGCTGCAGTGAATGGGCCAAATTCTGCAGTCTACACTGTGGTGTAAATTAAATGTCATGAGTAAATTGATCAAAAAACATTATAAGTGGGTGCAAATGATAAAGTAGTAGGGCTTGCACCAATATACTAAACGAGTGTAACACTGAGAAGGGGCAGCAGGAAAATTGCATCAGGGAACAGAGCAGCATCTCCCCTATGCTGTTACACCATCCAAGTAGCTGGTTTTACTACTGTATTCCCTTGTTTGTGCCCTTGGTGTGTAAATTACTCATTTTAATCTCTGCTGAGAGCTGTAATTTGCCAACCTTATTCATGTCAGGTTCTACCTTACTATGTAAGCAGTCCCATTGCAATTAATGGGCCTATGTGAGTATGAATTGTTACCTATTATGACTAAGGATGGCAGAATCAGGCCTGATGGACTTCTCTTGCAAATTAGACTACCATATCATTTACACCAGTTGTCTGATTAATATACATCATTTACATCATAGAAGTTAGCCAGGGACTTATATGGGTGTTGCATTTATTTACAACATGACTGCATTTTACCCAATATCTTCAAGCTCACAAAGGAAAAACAATCTGATGTAGAAGGAAGTAATATTTCTCTTTAAAACTGATTTCTTTGCTATCTCTGCCTTGAAAAGGATACTTTGGTTATTGAAAAGAGGTTCTTTAATAAGGCCATTCTTAATGGGTTTTACTGCTGTTTGAAGCAAAGACAGGAGTGTCACAGAACATTTTAATTAGTATGGGGTGCATTAGTTTATCTTAAATGCGGTATTCCTTCAGAAAACTGAGCATGACATACTGGTATATCGAAAGCTATTTTCAATTTCAAAGGATTCTGCAGAATCGGTATATGGACATGTGACCTGGGGTCAGGAGACCTGGATTCCAATCCCAGGTCCGTCAATGACCTGCTGAGTAATCTTGGACAAATTACTTCATATATTTGCCTCAGTTTTCCTCATGTGTAAAATGGAGATAATTCTTACCCTCCTCTAAAGTGAATTGAAAAGTTATATGCAAGTTCTAAATTTTAACCTATGTTTTAAAAAAATAAAATTGTAAAGTAAAGCATACCAAAAGTTAGGAAATCCAAAAGTTAAGGTTACCCAGACAACCTTAATTATGCCACTTTTGTGTTTGCATCATAATACATTCTTTAGTTAGTTAATGAATATAAATATGACTAATTCAGAGCACAGGTTGGATGAAGCACAGTGGATTAAATATGTATTTTTAATCATGCTTCATTCACTCTATAAAGCCTACCCTGTCCACTGAGGTCCCAGATGTGCTCTCACGCTTTATCTAGATTAGGAATTAAAATAGATTAGCACACATTAGCTAACGTATGCTAACACATCAGTCTAGTGCAGACAAGGCAAACTGCCTTTAACACATGCTCAACTGGTCGAATTGAAGCCTGCGCTCCCCCCAGGTTTAACTTGACCAGTTTAGCACGTGTTAAAGGCAGTGTGCCTTATCTGTAAAAGACTTTTAAAGGTGTGTTATGTATGCTAACACAGGCTAACATCACACCTTCAATTCTAGTCTAGAAAATGCCTCAGTTAAACAAGTGTAAAGTGAATGGTAGTTGCAAACAATTTGGCTCTCAGCACCTCTCATTGACTGTTTAACCTTGCCTCATTCACTATTTGCCATTCAGCTTGCACATCAAATGCAGCAGGGGACCTGTAGAAATAAATATAACTGAACAAGAAAGTGAATTTCACCTCTTTAAAAACAAAACAACTTGAGCTTTGGGGAAAAAAATTCAGCTCGAATTGGGAAAATCAAAACCTCAATTTCTTGTGGAAGTCAAATTCTGGAATATTTTGTTTCTGAAATGAAATATGCTTCTGGGGCTGTCAAGGAGTGTGGAGCCTGAAAGTGCTGGCCTCCACTACTCCATGACTGCCCCCATCCCAGGAAACCTGTCAAGAATCTGGGAGCTTTGGAACTTGGCCTTGAAGTTTTCAGGCTGCTGAGAAGCCAGACACCTGGAAACTCTTGGAGCCTCAGCAGCCACTAGGCAGACTGATGAGGAGCCAGGAGCCCACAAAGCCGTGGCTAATTTCCTTTGAAAGATTAGTTGAGCCTGGAAGGCCCTGGCCAATTTCCTTTGAAACCTGCAGAACATTTTGCTTTTCACAAATTGGCATTTTCCAACAACAAATATTCTAATGGAAAATTTCCAACCAGGTTTAGAAATAATAGCATGTGATTGTGTAAGACTATCATAAGTCTTATGAACATGGGGCAAAGTTAGTTAACTTTTTGAGTACTTCGTCTTACATCTTAAGTCCTGATACTACAAACATTTGTGCAGGTGCTTAACTTTATGCACAGGAGTACTCAAATTTAACTTTGCATGCAGAACATTAATCAGGATCATGGTCTTCAATTTCTTTTAATACAATTTCTTTCTTGGAATTTCACAGGGTTTTTAAAAAATGAAATGATAAAGTTAATTTCCAAAATGTGGAATTATTTGCCAGACAGTGCTATGAGGCAAGGCTGAAGCCCTTCAAAGACTGTATGGAACAAGGCAAGGATCCTCATTAACCCTGCCTCAATGATAACACACTTGTGCATTGGAGGAGATAATTTTTCCACAAATCTTTAATGTGTTGATCTAAAATTTCACTCTGTTATTTTGTGCATACATGTGCAGTGGTAATAGAATGTTAGGATATTAATTATAACCATCTCCTACTATAATTTTTAAAATTACAGTATCTTCATGATAGATTTTTAAAACCTTAGAGCTTGTCAAAATATTTTTATTGGACCACCAAAAAGCATGAAAAAGTCCCATTAGGTATTACCTCTGTACCAGATGTTGTTTCTATTGCCTCCTGCTGAGGTGAGAACTGCAATGTGTGTGTTTGTATACATTAAACACAAAAAGACTACATAAAAAAAACATTATCACGGTTGCAAAATCAACCACTCAAAAGTTAAGAAATGCCAGAATTAAGGTTGCCTGTACAACCTTAATTTGGTCCCCTTGCACGTAGGCATTATGATATAGTCTTTAAGTACATAACATCTCTTATTTCCACAGGACCCCTGCTTCATCCAGTGCAGAGAATGAATGGTTCTCACTCAGTGAGCAGCGATTCAAAATTTTGTTTTATCCTCATTGTTCAGTATGTGGCCCCAGGCCTTCCTTATTCCACGCTATTCAAACTCTGCTTTGAAGTCAGAATTATTAATTTCTTCATGGGCTTTTCTACGGTACTCATTATTATAGTATCTGAGTGCTTCACAAATATCAATTTGCTTTCACAAGACCCCTGTGAGATGAATGGATACTGTACTAATTTTACAGATGAGGAACTGAGGCACAGAGAGATTAAGGTCAAAAGTATCCACTAATTTTAGGTGGCTGATTTGTGACACCTAATTTTTCAGAGTACATAACACTATATAGCACTTTCTATGACCAAAGCACATTTCCCATTGACTTCAGCTGCAGCTGTGAATGCTTAGCACTTGTGCATTTCATACCCAGCACCACCTATGAAAAAATTGGTTTAACTTACTTGCCTAACGTCACGTACAAACACTGGCGGAGGCAGAGATAGAATCCAATTCTGCCAGGCAGCATTCAACTGCCTTAATCACGGAACCATTCATTTCTTCCTGAAATCCCCTTCCTCATTCACTACACATTTTCCAACTCCTGTAGCAAATGAAGCAGGGGTTGTACAGACAACAGCCTCCTTCACTACACAATCCTGATCCATCCCTAGAGCAAGTTCATCCTATGCAGTGAATCAAGCAGGAGTCCTGTGGGAAAAAATAGTATGTGATTATGTAATTAAAGACTATCATAATGCATATGCACAAGGGGGCCCAAAGTAGCTTTTGTTTAAAGTTTTTAAAAAAGTGAACTAAAAAAATAGAAATTCCATCTTATCGCATTGTATTGGCATCCACATGGGTCATTTGCAGGGTTGGAAAATTTAAATTCTCCACACAGACCTCTGGCAGTTGAGCTAACAGAGTAACTGATAGTGAAAGTAGGTTGTCATCCTCTATATGGACCAGGACTAGAGAGGGATGGAGCACTTTGACAGTGAGTTTCACAAATATGTACTGACAGTACAGGAATGGTGAGAATCACAAATCGTGGGTTCTATTCCAGACTTTGCAAGGAAGTATTCTCTAGTGGGCACAGACTCTTCTGCCCAGTTACTCCAAGCTTGACCCCTTCTGCCCAGTCTCTGTCCCAGGCCTGTGTCATCTGCACTCCTGACTCCTTGTCCCAATCCCATTCTCCTCAACTAGCCAATTCCGATCTCTTCTCCTCAGGCTTCTCATCCCAGCCCCAATCTCCTTGCTCAGCCATTCCCAATTTCTCCCCCACCCACTCCTGGCTCCTTTTCCCCAGTCTCCTTGCTCAGCCTGTCCCAGTTTCCCCCTCCCTTCCTTTTCAGCTGATCTCTCTCTCTTCCCCTACTGGCCTCAAGTCACCCCATCCCCTCCTCCTCTGTCCCTGTTAACTCCCAGTCTCCCTCAGCATCTCAACCAATCTCAGTGCTCCCACCCGGCTTCTTGTGCCAATCTCTTTGCCCAGCTAGTCCCAGTCCCTCCTCTCAACCCAGCTCTTTGTCAGATCTTTCCCCCCACTCCCATCAGTTCATAGTCCCAGTGTCCTTGCCTGGCCAGTCACAGTCTACCCCCAGCTCTTCATCCCCATACCATTTCTCTCTCCAGCTCCCAGTATCTATGTCCAGTGAGTCCCAGTCTTCCCCCACACTCCCAGTCTCCTTGCCCAGCCAGTCCCAGTATTCACATCCTTCACAGTCCCAGTGTCCCTCTTCCCCCTGCCCACCAACCTCCAGTCCCAGTCTCCCACCTCAAACCTCTTGTCCTAATCTACTTCCTCACCTCCCTCAGGTCCAGCTCTTGTCACTGCATTCAAATCAAACAACTTTCCGCTCTGGATCCGTGGAGAGCACAGGAGTGACAGGCTCCCTGCTCTGTGCTTGCCCCAGCCCAGCCTGCAGCAGCCTAGTGCTGCAATTGCTGGAGCATGCCCAATGCAGACAGAATTTGTGGTGAATTTAGCAGTGTAACTAGCAGTTCCCTACTGAGCATGTGCAAACCAATTTTTCAAAGGTGTTTTTGGGGTTTATTTTTTACTTCACTAAATTTGGACAGATTTTCTCTAGAGTAACAAAAAGTCAGTGTCCCTGATGCAAAGGCCACCACCCCTGCCAAATTTCAAGTTCTAGCTCCAAAGCCTGGAGGCACCGGAGCCTTTCAAAGGGAAGGTGGAAACTTGGTGGAACAACGATAAGCAATGAGATACGGTAATACCAGGTTACATAATGTATAGGAGCGACAGAGTAGGTCATGCTGGTGTGGGAGTGGCTCTATATGCAAAAATAAGCATAGAATCAAATATAGTAAAAATCTTAAAGGAATCAAACAGTACCATAGAACCTCTGTGGATAGAAATTCCATGCTTGAATAATAGGACTACAGCAGTAGGAATGTACGACCAACCACCTGACCAGGATGGTGATTGTGAAATGCTATGGGAGATTACAGAAGCTACAAAAAACAGAAAATCTCGTAATAATGGGGGATTACAAATATCCCATATTGACTTGGAACATATCACTTCAGGATGGGATGCAGAGATAAAATTTCTAGACACCATTAATGGCTGCTTCTTGGAGCAGCTAGTCCTAATAGTGACCACAATGTAATTAAATGTAATATCCTTGCGGGGGAAGAGGATACTAAGTAAAGAAACCCCACAGGAGCATTTAACTTCAAAAAGAGGAACTCCACAAAAATGAGGAGACAAGTTAAATGCAAATTAAAAGGAACAGTCACAAGAGTGAAATGCCTGCAAGCTGCCTGGAAACTTTTTACCACCACCATAATAGGGGCTCAAACTATGTGTGTACCCCAATTTAAAAAAAAACACCAAAAATGCCACAATGGCTAAACAATAGAATAATAGAGGCAGTCAGAGACAAAAAGACATCCTTTAAAAATTTGAAGTCAAATTTTACTGAGGAAAATAAAAAGGGACATATACTTTTACATTTGACTTGTCGGAGTTTAATTAGGCAGGCCAAAAAAGAATTCTAAGGGCAACTAGCAAAAGACACAAAAACTAACAGCAGTTTTTTTTAAAATATACATCAGAAGCAGAAAGCTTGTGAAACTATCTGTGGGGCCACTATACAATTGAGGTGCTAAAGGAGTGCTCAAGGAAGACAAGGCCAGTGCAGAGAAGCTAAATGAATTCTTTGCATCAGTGTTCATGGCAGAGGATTTGAGGGAGATTCCCACACCTGTGCCATTCTTTTTAGGTGACAAATCTGAGGAACCGTCCCAGAATGAGGTGTCAGTAAAGGAGGTTTTGCTATATTAAACAGTAATAAGTCACCAGCACCAGATGGTATTCACCCAAGAGTTCTGAAGGAACTCAAATGTGAAATTGCAGAACTACTAATTGTGGTATGTAACCTGTCGCTTATATTAGTCTCTCTACCAGATGGCTGGCAGATAGCTAATATGATGCCAATTTTTAAAAAAGGCTCCCAAGGCAATCCTGGCAATTACAGGCCAGTAAGTCTGACTTCAGTACCAGGCAAATTGGTTGAAATGATTGATAATTCAGTTCTTTACCAACACATAGATTAAACACAATTCGTTGGGAAAGAGAGAACATGGCTTTTGTAAAGGAAAACCATGCCTCACCAATCAATTAGAATTCTTTGAGGGTGTCGGCAAACATATGGACAAGGGTGATCCAGTGGATAAAGTGTATCAGAAATGGTGACATGGTCCCTCACCAAAGGCTCTTAAGCAAAGTAGGCAGTCATGGGATAAGAAGGAAGGTTCGCTCATTGGTTAAAAGACAGGAAACAATGGGTTGGAATAAATGGTCAGTTTTCACAGTGGAGAGTGTGTCTGGAGTCCCTCCAGAACTGGTCAACATATTCATAAATGATCTGGAAAAAGGGGTAAACAATGAAGTGGCACAGTTTGCAGACAATACTGAATTACTCAAGATAGTTAAGTTCAAAGGAGACTGCAAAGAATTACAAAGGGATCTCATCAAACGGGGTGAGTGGGCAAAAATTGGTAAATGAAATTCAATATTGATAAATGCATATTGGAAAACATAATCCCAACTATACATACAAAATGACAGGGTCTAAATTAGCTGTTAACAGTCAAAGAACAGCTCTTGAAGTCACTGTAGATATATGCTCTGAAAACATATGCTCAATGTGCAGTGGCAATCAAAAATGATAACAGAATGCTAGAAACCATTAGGAAAGGGATATAATAATAGGACAGAAAATACCATAAAGCCACTATATAAATCCATGGTACCCTACACCTTGAATACTGTGTGCAGTTCTGGTTGCCCCATCTCAAAAAATAAATATTAGAATTGGAAAAGGTACAGAGAAGGGCAACAAAAATGATGAGGGGTATGAAATAGTTCTATATGAGGAGAGATTAAAAAGACTGGGACTGTTCAGTTTAGAAGAGATACGACTAAGGCGGGATATGATAAGGGGTTTATAAAATCATGAATGGTGTGGAGAAAGTGAATAAAGAAGTGTTGTTTATCTCTTCACATAACATATCAAACCAGGGGTAACCCAGTGAAATTAATAGGCAGCAGGTTTAAAACAAACATAAGGCAGTACTTCTTCACACAACGCATAGTCAACCTGTAGAACTCATTGCCAGGGGATGTTGCGAAGGCCAAAAGTATAACTGGGTTAAAAAAATAATTAGATAAGTTCATGGAGGATAGCTCCTTCAATGGCTATTAGTCAAGATGGTCAGGGACACAACCCCATGTGCTGGGTGTCCCTAAAATTCTGATGGCTAGGAAGTGGAACTGGATGACACGGGATGGATCACTCGATAAATTGCCCTGTTCTGTTCATTCCTTCTGAAGCATCTGGCACCGGCTGCTGTCAAAAGACAGGATACTGGACTACATGGACCATTGGTCTGACTAAGCATGGCCATTCTTATGCTCATCAGAATTTTTATAACATGGGCAAAACAACTTATTTTTCCCTTGCTTCATACTCAGAAATGGCTGAACCGTTTTGGCTGAAACTTTCCAAAAAAATTCAGCTTAAGGCATACACCTGGCATGGGAAATTTGAATGGTTAGTGTGTTACAAATTTATAAGCAACTGAAAATGTGGTCTTATAATGGAAAGCATTGGACAGCCTTGGTAATATGTGGGTTTGTCACACATGCTTTACGCCAAAGATGTATTTTTTCTCCCATACTCTTTTCTCAAAAAAATGGTACAACTGTTTTGTTCAAACGTTCCAAAAAAGTCCACCCATAGGCAGAGACCAAACCTGGCAAGTTTCAGTCTGACAGCTGAGAGTTTGGCAAAGTAACAAACAGCTGAAAAAAGGCCTTTAGAACAGAGTTGCTTAGGCAGTGTTAAATCGTAACTGTTAGGCAGTCAAGTTATAAATGCCCACTTTCAGCCAGCTGGAGGTTGAAGACATTTTTAACACTACTGCTGCTAGTGTGCAGAAACATACACCCATGCTATCAGGACCAGAACCTTCACCTGCTTGTCTAGTATGTGATGCCAAGAGCACAACATTACTCATTACTATTGTATGATATCTTAATTCTCTTTGTGTATGGAAACCTGGGAATTCCAAATGAATACTACATGAATGCATCCTTTCTGGTCCTGGAGGCTTGCTATATTTCGTTTAAGTTAATTACGACTATTCTCTTTCCTAAATGTTAGCGTTTGTAGTGTCTGACTACTTTGGGGTAAGAGTACGCTGCAGCCACACATTTGAATGGCAGCTTGTGTAGATGTACTCTTGCTAGCTTTTTTCTATCTAACTCACTAAATATAGAACTGAGGATGCAGCAGCATGGGCTTCAGCATAGGCTGTACAAGCGGGTATGTACTCAGGAGGGTCAGATGGGTTTGTACAACTAGACCGGGGGTAATCAATTATTTTTTGTCAAGGTCCAAATTTCTTGATTCAGGTATAATCAAGGTCCAGACTCTAGAGAAAGTAATACAAAGATAACAACAATAATGATAATAATAATAAGTAAATAAAAAGATTTCTTGGTCTGTTCAAAAACATCTGATGGTCCGAATTTGGCGCATAGTCCAGCTGTTGACTACCCCTGAGCTAGAGTATAGCTAGCATGCGTACTTCTACATGAGCTGCAAATTACACTTGTGGCTGCAATGTAGTCATGTACCCTAGGTCTTATCCTGCAAAATGGCAAGCTCCATTCACTTCAGAGGGCATCTAGCATCTTACAGGAGGTGGTCAGCACCTTTCAGAGTCAGGCCCTATGAGGCATTTTCTACATGCAAGAAAGAATTCACCAAAACATATAGTCACACATACACAAAAATTGTAGCTTGTCTCCTACTGGGAATTCACTCTTCGTTTCCTCCCAGCTCTCCCCCCACAACCTAATATGTATTTGCATTTGGCTTATAACCCATTCTACTTGTTCCTTTCTTTTACCTCCAGGGTAGCCCTTTGTACCCCCTTGTCTCGCCTTGGGCAGGAATTGGCAACATTCAGTCACAGGGCTGTGTCTGATACCTTGTTAACAATTGATCGTATGGAGCAGGCCCGCATAGAATACAGAGGGGCCTTGCTGTGGATGAAGGATGTGTCCCAAGAACTGGATCCTGACACCTGCAAGCAAATGGAGAAGTTCAGAAAAGTATTTATTTCCTTCTTGTTGCCAGCAATGGGTGCAGTTGAACACGGTTTAGTTGCAAATGTAGAGAAGGACAAATCAAGTACAGTACCATTTCAGCTGTGGGGAGCCTAGCAGCTCACCGAGGCTCCCAGGAACTGCCTGGACTCCAGGCACAGGGCTCACGGCTGGGTGTGTTTGGCCACCACAGCCTTGTCTTTTATACTAGGGTGCACCAGGAGGATTTTTTAAGTTTTCTTAGTAGAGACATGTCTTGAGTATTTGATTACAGTAAATCATGTGGTCACACAACACAAGGCAATGTGACTCACTGATTATAAAATACAGTAATTGAAAAAACTGTACTTGTTATAATTGTCAGTAATTTAAATAACATTTTGTATTGCTGAACAAAACAGAGTACTGTATGATCTTCATTATAATACAGAGGTCCCATTTTGGTTAAGAACCCTCCTCCTGTAAGGGTAACAGAAGACAGATCACCTCCCTTGACAAGCAAAGTTTGCCTCATCATCTCCACCAATTCCTGTTGGTGGTGGTTTTGCTACTGCAGCTGTATATATTACTGGAGCTGATGTTGCTTCTCTTGTTATTTCTGCTGCTGTTCCTCTTACCACTTCATCAGGTTCTTTTGCTCCACATTGTTAGCGTACACATATTCTCCTTCTTGCTTTAAAATCCCTGACACTACATGTAACCTGCTGAGGTAAGTCAGAAAAGATAAAATTAAAAAAAAATTCATTTGATTATTGAAGCAGAAGAAGGTGCTTATCAGCAAAAATCAGAGCACATTACCATAAACAAAAAATATATATCATAAAGATTTCCCAACTCAGGTGTAGCACCTTGCCTTCCTCATTCTAGCCTCCCTGCAACTATTCTTTTAGCACTTGACCAAAGAGAGGGGTGAAGGGAAGTCAGACTCCTTACTTACTACAAACCAGATATTGCCCTGGTATGCAGTCACAAGACCAGATTGTAGTGTATTCCTGCAAGAGGGCAATTAAAGGTGCTGTGGGCACTGTAATTCTGAATTTCCTGAGTGTTTATCTGAATGTTATGTCAACTTTAACATTACTTTCTTGCATATAAACAGGATATTTTTTCCTTTTGGAAGTGACAAGACCATAATTAGCAGCTAATTTATAGGGCTTTTGACATTTGATTATAAATTCTTTAGGGCAGGGACAATCTCTACAGTATGTGTGCATGTGCAATACCTATACAATGGGGCCTACAAATTACTCCTACAGACGCTCCAGGACAAGACTGCTGTACATACTAGGACTGTGAAACATTTTCAGAAGTTCTTTTCTGCAACACACATACATACCTATGATCTCCTTTTGCTATTATGTATTTCAACTTTCATGGTTCTAGGTGCAGACGCAAGTGAAAAATACCAAAGCCCAATTTGACAAGTTGAAAATGGATGTCTGTCAGAAGGTGGATCTACTGGGAGCTAGTCGCTGCAATATGTTGTCTCATTACCTTGCTATCTATCAGGTATCTATGTTAGATTTGCAGAATGCCTTACACTGGACATTTGAAGGGAAAATAACTTTTTGATATAATGTGGGAGAATGAAGTTGTTAAACCAGAGCACAAAAGTGAACAAGATCTTATAAGCAGCAATGTACTGGTGATAGCAACTTCTCTTCTGATATTTACAGGACGTAGTTGATGGCCAATATCTCCATTGTGAAGGAAGCATTTGAATACACACACTGATTAATTTATAAATACTGTGATTATGTTTTAAAATACATAGCAGACTTGGACAGACAATGCTTTAGCACCTTCCTTTGGGATTTCTTGGAAGAATTTCTATTTATAAGAGGCTTTGTTGTATTCCAGTTTTAGAGAGTAAATGCATGCAGTTACATCAACATGAAGCTGAAGCAATGCTGTGGTGGATCAAGCTCAATAAGTTTGTGATCCATCCAACCTACCAGTGTCCATTGTCCTCATTTCAGTGCTTTTTGAATTTTAGCAACATCTGGAGAGAACTCCTTAATGAGCTGAAAATAGGAGAGAAGGGAATGGAAACTAGAAATATGTATTGAAGAAATGCATTTAGGTGGAAACAGATATATGCTATATAAAGATGGGAGTCTTAGTTCTAATTAACAGGACTTTTTTTTAAGGCAAATGTTGCCATTGATGTTGTATAGGCATTTTCTCACTGTGTCCCTAAAGTTACTGTAACAGTCTCCACAGATTCAGCTATCAAAATAGAGCCTCTAACCAAAGAGCTTGCGCTTCCTTGCAAAGCCTAACTGAGCAGAAGTACTGCCTAGATTCTGTTGCTCAGCTGTGTTTATTTTCTGCCACCTGCAGTGCTGCCAACACTCTCAGAACTCCCAACCCTAATTCTCCATCCTGCCTTCCTACCTGAAGTGAACCCAAAAGGCTTTGCTCATCATTCATCATGGGAGCAGCTCTTAAAGCCTTCTGGATGGATTACAATGGCCCCTGGACAAGAGAACCAGTTCAAGTTATAAGAATGAACCCGATGCTTGAAATAAACTGAACCCAAACAATTTTTTCCTGGTTTGGATAAATCTTCCCCCATCCCATATCAATCCTTTTCACTGCTACACTCTAACTCCACAGGCTGAAAAATCAGTGAGTCCTGAGTCCCTCCTGTCCAGCCCTAGGTTACTGCTCTCTGCAAATGTGCTGGCACTTGAGCGTTTCACAAGCAAGCATGCTTCTGGCAGGAACCCTCAAAATGGAGAATCTTGCACATTTTTGGGCTTCTTGTTAAGAGGAGAGTGTTCATATTAATATATATTTTCATCCTTGTTTAAATAAAAAAAATGGCAGAAGGGGTTTTGCAAAATTGTTCCAAAAGATATCGTGGACAGAGAGAAATCCTCCTTTCCAAACTTTCTCTCAACAGAAGATTCTGTGCTCCTCCTCCTAGCGAACTTTTCTATTTTCTCTATGTCCAGTCCTCTCCACAGCAATATCTGGAAGAAAAGCCTGTAGTTTCAGCAGCAGTTCTTCCCTCTGTGGAACATACAAAGTCCTATGAACAGATGGCTGGGAGTATAGAGTTACACGTTTCCATCTTGAAACAGCCCTTACACGTCATTCTTACTGAAATGGGAGATTCAGGATTGGGAAGAACTCCCAATTTGTTTAGAAATTGCTTATGTCAAAGGAGACAGGAAAATAATGATAGAAATAGCTGTCAGAAGTAAGCCTGTGTAATATCTCCTTTGACTTTTTCCTTCTCAGATAACCCTTTTGCACTTCTGCAAGAAGACAGCAGGACTGATGTCCAAAATCCATGAGGAGTTCATAGGTGTCCACCCATATCACTGTGTTACACTTGAGGTGAAGTTTTCATGTTATTTCTGTAAGATACAAGGTTCTTGAAAAGAAAATATATTTTTTTTTGGAGAAGTAAATTTCAGATTCAAATAATCATTGAAATATATATGTCTAGAATTAAACTACTGACAAGTCTGGCACAAATAAGTCCATTCCCCATGCTCATTTTGCAAGTTTGTCAAATGGATAAATAAGTTGTTAATTTATCTGATTTTTATTTAAAAAACAAAGCAAAAACAAAAAACCCTGTGGTCACACTTTATATTAAGGTTCCATTTATAAAAATGGAATATATAAGGGGTTAATAAATAAGTGATATTTTAATAAATGGTTAATTATTAGAGTATTATAGAGCCCAACAGATCGCTTATTACTATCCATGACTTATAACTCCGTCTAATGATGTGCTCATAACCATCTATAATGCATACTACTCATGTCTGGAACATGCCTAAAATATCTATTAATCAATCTTTATATAAAGTATTACCAAAATTTTAGTGCATCTGTGATATTACAGTGTAACTACAGTCACAGTATCATAAAGTATAACCAGAATTTCTTAATTACAAAAAATGGTTGTTACAATCAGGTAATTGAGAGAAAAGTTACTGCTACACAGATTACTGTGTTCAAATCATTAGATTGGAGAGGTGAATTTGTAGATATCATCAGTTCCCTCTCTTAAAATATATTTTTTCCACTTCTCAGCAACCACAGGAGCCTTCCCTAAACAATCCCACTGAAGAACATAAAGAGAAGATAGAGAAAGACACCATCAGTGCAAACCTTGATAAGTAAGCAGGAAGTAAAATGATGTGAAATTGTAGAGGATTAAAAACACATGTTGAACATGTTTGGTGTGGGCATTAGGAAGAGGGTCTCTGCTTCCTAGTATTCATAAATAATAATATATACACTTACTTTCTTCTCCAGCTTGCATTTTATAACCCTTTTCATTCTTTTTCCACTTTGGCATTTTCTTGATATTTTTATTTCTGTTTTTTTTCCCCCTCCACCAAAAACAACATCTCACCTTGTTAGGTTAAAATAATTGTTTGTAGTCAGTGTTCTTAGCAAGATTAGACCTTCTTTGATGATAACTTGTTTATTAATTTATATATGTTAAACAAAAAATGTTACACAACTTTGCCAAAGTTACACAATTGTTTATAAGAAATGTGTCAATGTGTAACATGTTTTAGAACCTATTGCCATCTTAATAAAAACAGAACAGATATAGTAAATAGATATTAGCTCATATGAGTTACTCTCTATATATCTGTCAATACCATTTTCTCACTTCATTGTCTTGATCAGTTTCCATTACCTTAAGTTCACCAAGCACAGAGAATTTAATTTAAAAAGGAAAAATACAAAATGAACACAGGCCAGGATGGTCTGAAAATGACTGCCTAATGTTAGGCTTCTAAATCAATAGTTAGGCACTTAATAAATGGTGTAGTTTATAGAAGTGCTGAACACTTATTGGGAATTAAGGGAGTTCAGTCTTTTCAAGATTTGGCTTTAGCCATATACATTTTGAGACAAGGAGCCAGATTTTCCTCTCACTTATACCAGTGTAAAGCCAGAACTACCTCACTGAAATCGTAAATGTAAAACCAACATTAGCAAGAGGAAAAGTAGGTCTTAATTCTCTCTTTAGTGTTGAGCCACTAACATTTCAACACATCTTGCATCTTAGCCCTCAATCTGACAAATTCTCTTTGGTTTTTGAATCAGGTTAAATTTGTTGGATGAGGAAACTTCTATCCATTTGGAAAGTGAAGCAGGTAAGATATATATTTTTTGGATTTCAGGTAATTTGATTGGGTGACACAAGTAATGAAGTCACTCCAAATTCATGCCTATAAAACCATTAGGTTGCCACACACCAATGTATATTTTATAGTCCTGATCTTGCATACTATATCTTTAAACAGGTTTCAGAGTAGCAGCCGTGTTAGTCTGTATTCGCAAAAAGAAAAGGAGTACTTGTGGCTCCTTAGAGACTAACAAATTTATTTGAGCATAAGCTTTCGTGAGCTAACTATATGCCTGTACAATCTTACTTCAGCGTCCTTGTGCATATACATTATGATACTATTGTTTCCATAGGACTGAAGTCTCATTCAGTACATATGATGGACTGTGCTCTAGGGATGGAGTTCCCTAAGTTTATAGAAAAAGCAACGCAAAAACCATCATATGTAATGCGATCATAGCGACATCCAGAGGGGTCATCTGCAGGATGAGGACCCCAAATTTCAGCTAGACACTGCCTCCAGTTTCTGGGGCATCTGGCCAAGGGCACATCAGTTATAGCTCATGCCAGACTGAGCATGAGATGCCTCCAAGCATGGTTCAGTTTACAGATGGAACAGAGAACATAAACAAGCTACTACTGATGTCCACCAAAATCAAACAATCCTGAATTGGTGGAAAGACCCAATACGGGAATCCTGTTTGTTCAGCCTGCCCCTGACTACTGATGCATCCCTCATAGGATTTGGCTCACATCTCAGCAATTGCAGAGTGCAGGGCAAATGGTCTCCATCTGAGACATGCCTTCACATCAACCTGCTCAAACTCGGAGTGGTCAGGGAATACGTGTGCTCACTTCATCCCGCTGATCAGAGGCATGCACACAGAAGTCATGATGGACAATATGGCCTGCATGTATTACATAAACGAACAAGGAGGGGCTAGATGAGCCCTCCCTGTGCATGGAAGCACGAAAGCTATGGAACTGGTGCATTTCCCACAATGTCAGATTATCAGCAGCCTACCTACTGGGAGTGCACAACACGACAGCAGACAGTCTCAGTCACAAATTTCCACATGACCATGAATGGGGGCAATGGGAGACACAGACAATAGACCTGTCTGCCACTTACCAAAACAAGAAATGTCCACAGTACTGCTTCAGAGTGGGGATTGGACAACACTCCCTGGGTGACTTTCTCCTCCTCTTATGAGACAAGGGCCTTCTTTACACCTTTCCCCCATTCCCTGTGAAAGTCCTCTTGAAAATAAAAATCAAACATCATACTGACTGCTCCTGGATGGCCCAGACATGGTATCCTTACCTGTCACAACAAGTGCTATGTCCACCGATGACTCTACTTACAGGTAGTAAGGTACTCAGTTTTCTCCGACACGACTACTAAGAGGTTTCTCAAAGGCATAGCGAACCTCTTTCCTCAACCCAGGCTTCCTGCCCCACAATGGGATCTCAACCTAGTACTAAAAGGACTGACCAGACCACCGTTTGAACCCATGGCCACTTGTCCTTTAACTCACATCTCCATGAAGACAGCGTTCCTGATTACCATCACCTTGACAAGAAGGATAAGGGAAATAGGGGCTCGGATGGCGTACAACCCTTTACAGTTTTCTTCCCTGACAAAGTCATGCTTAGACCACATCCGAAGTTCATTCCCAAGATGACTTCCGCACTTCACATGAACCAACTCATTCACCTTCCAACCTTTTATCCCAAACCTCATCAGGATATTAGGAAAACCATCCTCCATATGCTTGACATGAGGAGAGCCTTGACCTTCTATTTGGACATGACAAGAGTTTTTAGAAAATCTCAGAGACTCTTCCTCTCCATAGAATCATAGAATATCAGGGTTGGAAGGGACCTCAGGAGGTCATCTAGTCCAACCCCCTGCTCAAAGCAGGACCAATCCCCAATTAAATCATCCCAGCCAGGGCTTTGTCAAGCCTGACCTTAAAAACTTCTAAGGAAGGAGACTCCACCACCTCCCTAGGTAACGCATTCCAGTGTTTCACCACCCTCCTAGTGAAAAAGTTTTTCCTAATATCCAACCTAAACCTCCCCCACTGCAACTTGAGACCATTACTCCTTGTCCTGTCCTCTTCTACCACTGAGAATAGTCTAGAACCATCCTCTCTGGAACCACCTCTCAGGTAGTTGAAAGCAGATATCAAATCCCCCCTCATTCTTCTCTTCTGCAGACTAAACAATCCCAGTTCCCTCAGCCTCTCCTCATAAGTCATGTGTTCCAGACCCCTAATCATTTTTGTTGCCCTTCGCTGGACTCTCTCCAATTTATCCACATCCTTCTTGTAGTGTGGGGCCCAAAACTGGACACAGTACTCCAGATGAGGCCTCACCAATGTCAAATAGAGGGGAACGATCACATCCCTCGATCTGCTCGCTGTGCCCCTACTTATACGTCCCAAAATGCCATTGGCCTTCTTGGCAACAAGGGCACACTGCTGACTCATATCCAGCTTCTCGTCCACTGTCACCCCTAGGTCCTTTTCCGCAGAACTGCTGCCTAGCCATTCGTTCCCTAGTCTGTAGCTGTGCATTGGGTTCTTCCGTCCTAAGTGCAGGACCCTGCACTTATCCTTATTGAACCTCATCAGATTTCTTTTGGCCCAATCCTCCAATTTGTCTAGGTCCCTCTGTATCCTATCCCTGCCCTCCAGCGTATCTACCACTCCTCCCAGTTTAGTATGGCTTAGTGTAGACAACCATATTATACTGAAACAAACATTAAATATGAATTTACATGTGAATTGATAGGATCTTTGCCAAGTAGTGTATGATCCAAAGAGTAGCAGGTAAAGGAACATATATAGTAGAATCTAAGAGTCACAAATTGACCAGTCAACCACAAACCTCATTTGGAACCTGAAGTATGCAGTGAGGCAACAGCAAAGATCAAAAAACAAAACAAAAACAAGGATAAAGCAGTGCAGTACTTTGTTAAACGTAAACTACTAAAAAAATAAAGGGAAAGTTAAAAAAAAGATTTGGCAAGGTAAGGAAACTCTTTCTGTGCTTGTTTCATTTAAATTGAGATGGTTAAAAACAGCATTTTTCTTCTATATCGTAAAGTTTCAAAGCTATGTTGAGTCAATGTTCAGTTGTAAACTTTTGAAAAAACAACCATAACGTTTTGTTCAGAATTATGAACAACCTCCATTCCTGAGGTGTTCATAACTCTGAGGTTCTACTGTCGCGGCAAGTCTGATAATCTCTAGCCCCTGCACTACTCCTCTGCACTTAAATGAAGCTGTCTTACAAGGCCCAGCCATACTGTCTCTAAGGCATTGTCTACACACATGGAATAGCCCCAATTTAGCTGTCTCTGTAGCTGCACCAGTGAGTTGACTCCTAAGTGTAGGCAAGGGCAAGCCAGCCAGCCTTAGGATGGATTGAGCTAATCGTGGTTTATATGGCCCTCAATTAGTGAAATGGGTACAAACTCGAGCTTGCCCTTGTATGAACATGAGTGTCAACACCCCTGTATCTACACAGTTTGTTGAATCAGGGCAATTCCCGTGTATAGAAAAAGACCTAAGAAGTTCCTGTTTTTTCAGCCAAATAAAGACCTACCTTGTTCACTGACCTGCTTCGTTCACTTAAAAGTTTCTCAAGAGAGACAAACAATTAAGGCAACTAAGTAGTCATAGGGAGAAAAGTAAAGTTCGGTCATGGATTAGAAACTAAGAAATGTTAAATTCTCAACATGAAAGCAGGTTAAAAGTGGGATAACTCCAAGGATCCATATTGGGATGAATAGTGTTGAATATATTTATTTATAATCTGGAAAAGGGAACAGACAGTGCAGTCAACAATTGCAGATGATAATTATTTAGGTTAGTCAAAACAAGGAAGGACTCAGGAACTTTAGAGAGACCCAATAAAGTCAGTCAACTGGGCAACACTGTGGCATAAAAATTTAGCATAGATAAGTGAAAGAGAATGCACAGTGGAGAATGGCCAGGCCAAATTTCAAAGTTCTCCCACACACAAGTGACCCTTTTTGATACAGGGGGGGAAAAAAATCTCATTTTGGAGGGCTTGAATATTTATTCTAAAGCCAACACTCACTAAGTCTCTTCCTAAAAGCCCTCAATTCCTCAGGCTACTTATTCAAACAAGGTTTATAATGCAAAATAAACACCCATGTTCTGCAACAATTCCTTGGGGGAGTCCAAAGCACTGGTCTCCTACCAGCAACAACCTTCCTAGGAGACTACCTGCCTTTTATGTGCTTTTGAGAACTAGGTGTAGTTGTTTTGCCTCCTTTCCTTGACTGCCCTTTCCTCTGCATCCTATATTTCTACCTCCCAAAGAAGTATTGCCTCCTTTCATTAGGGAAGCTGGGATGTGGTGTAACATGACCACAGAGACCCCATTCTGGGTGCTGAAGAGTCTCACAGAAAGGAACAATTTGAATTACTCTCACACATTGCTGGGTTATAAATTAATTGTAGTTGTTCAGGAAGAGATCTCTGCTCACTTTGGACTGCTCAATGAAAATACCTCATTGACCTGTTGTAAAAAATGCAGAAGGATATTAGGATGTATTAAAAAGGAGAGAAAATACACACAATAGCAGTATACTATTTTCAGTAAGTCAATAGCACATAGTCACCTTGAATACCCCGTTCAGTTCTGGGTATATGTGTGGTGTTATTTAAAAGACAGGTTTCAGAGTAACAGCCGTGTTAGTCTGTATTCGCAAAAAGAAAAGGAGTACTTGTGGCACCTTAAAGACTAACCAATTTATTTGAGCGTGAGCTTTCGTGAGCTACAGCTCACTTCATCGGATGCATACCGTGGATACTGCAGCAGACTTTATATACACACACAGATCATGAGACAATACCTCCTCCCACCCCACTGTCCTGCTGGTAATAGCTTATCTAAAGTGATCATCAAGTTGGGCCATTTCCAGCACAAATCCAGGTTCTCTCACCCTCCACCCCCCCACACACAAACTCACTCTCCTGCTGGCAATAGCTCATCCAAACTGTTTGGATGAGCTATTGCCAGCAGGAGAGTGAGTTTGTGTGTGTATGGGGGGGGGGGGGGTGAGAAAACCTGGATTTGTGCTGGAAATGGCCCACCTTGATTATCATGCACATTGTAGGGAAAGTGGTCACTTTGGATGAGCTATTACCAGCAGGATAGTGAGTTTGTGTGTGTGGTTTTTGGAGGGGGGTGAGGGGGTGAGAGAACCTGGATTTGTGCAGGAAATGGCCCACCTTGATTATCATGCACATTGTGTAGAGAGTTGTCACTTTGGATGGGCTATTACCAGCAGGAGAGTGAGTTTGTGTGTGGGGGGGGTGGAGGGTGAGAGAACCTGGATTTGTGCTGGAAATGGCCCAACTTGATGATCACTTTAGATAAGCTATTACCAGCAGGACAGTGGGGTGGGAGGAAGTATTGTCTCATGATCTGTGTGTGTATATAAAGTCTGCTGCAGTATCCACGGTATGCATCCGATGAAGTGAGCTGTAGCTCACGAAAGCTCATGCTCAAATAAATTGGTTAGTCTTTAAGGTGCCACAAGTACTCCTTTTCTTTTTATTTTAAAGACAAGGTGTCACCGTGTTTCAGTGGGTCACAGCTGAGGATGCCAGATTCAGGACAAACTTCTGAGAAACAGGGCAGACTTACCCCAGACTTGTGGTTGTTATTCAACCATAAGATATACCTTGCCAGTAACAAAAGTAAACTTCTGGCTCACCACACTGTTTAACAAGAAGTCAAAAATGCAGACACCTTAGGCATTTCAGCACTTATTTCACCACCCAGACACTAGACTTAATGATGAGTGGTTATTGAAAACCAGTTTAATCAAAAGTAAAGGTTCTTCTGATCCCAAGAAATCAGCCACAAAATCAGGTTAGTATGTAACTCAGCTCTTACCCAATAATCACACTGCTGCCTATCCTTTAGTAACTAAAATCTAACCGTTTATTTATAAGAGAAAAGAAAGAGAGAGAGAGTTACAATGGTTAAGGAAATCACATGAATGCAAGTGATTGCACATTTCTTATATCAGGTTTGAAGCAGTGGTGGAATAAACTGCTAGTTTGCAGAAGTCTCTCTGGAAAGCATACGCACCAACTTTCCCTGGTGCCGTTGGGTGCTCGCGCCCCCCCAGCCCAGCCCCGCCCCGACTCCACCCCTTCCCCGCCCCCATTCCAACCCCTCCCCAAATCCCCACCCCAGCCCCGCCTCTTCCCTGAGAGCACCGTGTTCCCCCCTCTTCCCCCCTCCCTCCCATTGCTTGGCGTGTGAAACAGCTGTTTTGTGGCAGCAAGGGCTAGGAGGGAGGGGGGAGAAATGGAGTGGTGGCACGCTCAGGGGAGGAGATGGAGCGGAGGCGAGCTGGGGCGGGACGGCAGGGTGGGGAGCTGCTGGTGGCTGCAGAGGATCCACCAATTTTTCCCCATGGGTCCTCCAGCCCTGGAACACCCACAGAGTTGGCACCTATGCTGGAAAGTAGCCAAACACCTTGAGGGGTCATCAGTCCTTGTTTAGAGCTTCCTTGTTAGAAGTCCAGTCCAAAGAAGTGAAGCAGATGTTTCCAGGGTCTTTATACCCTTTCCCATGTGGATGAAATTTTACTGTCCCAAACAAAGCCCACAGCACAGCTTGTGGAAAAGTACAGGCACAAGATGGAATCCAAGGTCACATGAGCAAGTCACATGCCCTTACATGGCTTTGACTCACAGGAGCAGCCACTGCCCACTTGGAGTCTCAGGCATCCACAGGAAGGCCACGTGTATACTAGCACTTATGTCTGCAAAATTTGTGTCGCTCAGGGGTGTTAAACCCCCCCCCCCCCCGAGCGACATAAGTTCTGGGGGCATAAGCGCTCATGTACACAGTACTATATTGGTGGGAGAGTATGTCCCACCAACATAGCTACCACCCTTTATGACCCACTAACTTCAGTAAAACCACATGCAGATGTGAGGGTCTATCTTGTTATCTTGTCGTCCATGCAATATGAATTCATATTTTGGGCCACATCCTGCTTTCAATAACGGAAGTATAAGTCAGAGTGAACTTATGGGTACATAGTTGTAAGAGCAGAATATGACCCTTCATTTGATATAAAAAAAATTAACAGGAATTTAGTAATCATAAAGACCACAGTCTATGCTATTATTTTCTCAAAAAATGCTCTTCCCACTTATTTTCTTTCCTCCTTCAGTTTCAAGCAATCTGCTGGTAGATTCTTTGGAAGGAGAAGATTTTGACAAAGAGCTGTCATTCCCGGATAACATACTGAGTCCCTATTCTGCAAGTGCTGGAGAGATCGTCCAGGAATGTCAAAATGTGTTTGGGAGTCCTCATACCAGTCTCCTTTCACAGAATCCTGCTACAGATTCAGAACCTCTGCCTAGTTCATCTGGATTCCTACCTTCACAGCTCTTTGACCTTGGCCTTCATGCTGCTGGAAGCTTCAGTAGTAAGCATCTAAAATACTCAAACTATAGATATCTTTATGTTTGTACAAAAGGCCAGGTGCTTCTTCCATTTGACAATACTGGCAAAACTTCCATAGAAAAAAATTGGGTGCAAAGATATTAGGGACTAAAAAGAACATTCTTGCAGTAATGATATTGCAGTAGAGGTTGGGCAAGTACTGCTGTGATGAAGCTCAGAATATTAACTAATCCAGCCAGGAAATCTGTAAATCATCACCCTTTCCAATAACAAAATTTTGCTTCTTTCCAAAAATAGTGTGCTTACCGTCTGGCAATTTATAGACATAACCAAAATCTATTAATTCAGATTTGGAAACATGTAGCTCTGCAATTTATTAAGGTAGGTCTTGATCTTCCAACCTTATGTGAATAGCCCTCATGATGTCAATGGGACTGCTTGCATGAAAAAGGATTATTTATGTGGGTAAAACTTGCACAAGTCCTGAATTTGTCATGTATACAATAGTGCTTTTGAATCCACAAAATATGAGCGAAATCTGCTAACTTGATAGCACATGTTGAGAAAAATCTCCACTGTCCTTACTTTTGGTGACCACACACTCTATCTATAAAATACACACAGTTTAGACATTTTAAATATTTATATTTTCTGCCTTTTATTTCTACCGTTTTATAATATAGTAAAAAATGTCAGATACAGACTTTGAACTGAACTGTTGAGTCTGAGTTACCCTAGAATTTCCAATTTCTTCTAGAAAATTCATCGAAAATGTTGGGGCAAATTTACACAAAAGTGTAAATCCAGATTACCTTCAGTTTATCTTGGTTTACACTTGTGTAACCAAGAACAGAAATAGCAGTATGATATATACTTTGGGAATATTAAGTATCACACTGTAGCATGTTTGCAACTGTGGGACATCCAGAACTCTCCTAAAAAGTGGGAGGGGATTACTGTTGATACATTTAACATTTTGTAGGTGGTTAATATATCCTTAGGCTATCCAAAGCAAAAAGTCTGAATCCTATCAGCGTTAGTGCAAGTTCATAGTTCATTGCATTTACCACAACATAATCAGTGTTCTCAGCGGTGTATTAATGCCTAGGCCGACAAGGCCTAGGCCTGGGGCGGCAAATTTATAATAGCAGCCAGAGGCTGCTTCCCCCAGCACCAGTTCGTGCCCTCTGCTCCTGGCCCCGCCCAACTCCACCCCTTCCCCGCCCCCTCCCTGCCCCATTGGTACCCTTTCCCAAATCCCCGCCCCCTCTCCTGAGCGCACTGTGTTCCCTCCCTCTTCCCCTCCTTTGCAAACCTGTTTTGCGCACAAGCACTGGCAGGGAGCAGGGAGAAACAGGACCTGGCTGCGCGCTCAGAATAGGAGGTGGAGGCGAAGTGCAGGTGAGCTGGGGCAGGGAGCTGCTCGCAGGTGGGGGGGGGGAGGGCGCGGCAACAGCAATTATTTCAGGGCCTAGAGGCAACAAAATCATTAATCCGCCACTGAGTGTTCTATGTGGGATCTATATGTTGCACTCAAATGATGTTTTACAATATCTTTGGAATGTGGTTGTTGCTCGGTAATCCATTACTTTTTCCTCTAAGGCTGGACATCTCACTCAGAATCTGTGCAGTCTCTTACCCACTCACTGCCTGGTAATCAGCCATTCCCTTCACACAGCACTCCAAAGATACCACCAACATGTAAGTTATTTCTGTATCTTTGCAGAAGCGAGGTTTCTTCATAAGCAGTGTTTCATATGTAACATTTTTGGTTTATTATTGCAAACAGAATACTTTGCTGGGGAGAGACAAGATAACTCTGAAAGTAGCAATATGTTTGTCCACATCTCTCAGTACTGAGCAGTTAAAATAGAACCTGGATATTTACTTTAGCACATGGATCTGTGAACACTATCCTTCTGTACTTTATTTCAAGGTTGGATGCTAGTATCTTCCAGCAAAGACTGTAGCATCATATCAATACCAGCTCACCAGTAATTAATGTAAACACTTTCAAAATGGGATTGGAATTTGGGGGTCTGACTTGTAAAAGATACTGTACACTTATGGTCATATTTTCAGTAATTTACTGGCTATATCAACCAGTGTCTTGCTGTCAGCAGATGTAGAGTCCAAAGTAACTTGGAGAGCTGAGAGTCTATACAGCAACTGCAGTGCATGTGCTGGTGTATAACAAACCCTTCTCAGTTTCATGTGTCTGCATGTTTCGCTTGATCCAGAGAATTTACATGCTGTTTACAGTGAGAAGATTTAATCCAACCAGAGAGCAAGAAGGGAGCTTTCTTCAATAGGGATGATATAATTTTTACTACTGTTTTATTTGAAATTAATGCTAACATAACCAGCGTTAATTTTTTTTAAATGAAGTTATAAATACCTTATATATAATAATGTTCCAGTGTTTCACTGAATTTATAAAACCCACAGAGTTTTGATTTAAAAAACAAAACAAAAAACGTCCGTGGTTGCATTTGTATGCAAATGAAGTGTGCCTTTCACTGTAATACAATTTGAAAGGGAACTAGATTCTACTCCTCAATGTGCATCAGTAAGACTGCTTACTTAAGGTATGTCTTCACTACAGAGTTAACTCAGATGGCAGCCAGGGAGCACCCTGGTTGGCCTACCCCAGATCTGTGTGGCCACACTGCAAAGCCCTACCCAACTATGTCCACTTGATTATGTGCACATTCGTGCTGTACTCACTGAGGTGAGGGGCTAGGACTTCTGGAAGCATATCCCATGTGTAAAGCTTCGGACTCACCCCTGCGGCCCCTCCTGATGGTAGTCATTGGGAATTAGCTCGTCCAGCCACTGGAGCACCCTCTACAGGCTGGTGATCCACCTTACTGCTTGCCCCGGGTCCCTTTCTCTGGGGTGCTGCCCCCCTGGCAGTACCCCCACATTCTCAGGTTCTGGGTCTCCCCACCCAGGGAAACCCCCACCCTCTAACCCCACCTCGCCTCAGTCTGGGCTACTGCCAGTCCCCACTTAGCCCCTTGGATCGGGGGCAGACTGCAGTGTATATGCCACTCATCACAGGCAAGGGGGTTTTGGAACTGCTGCCTCCGCCTACCCATGGGCTGCCCCACTGCAACCCTGCACCTATTCGGCCAGTAGTCAGGCCTGCAGCCTGAGGCTTTCCAGTCTGGAGCTCCCAGCTCCTCTGGCCCTTCCCCAGCCCTGCTCCAATCTAAGTGTCCTGCTCTGTACCTTACAGCCAGACCCTTCTCCCTCTACAAGCAGAGGGAGACTGACTGGGCTTCTGGCTCACAGCCTCTTATAAGGGCCAGCTGGGCCTGATTGCGCTGGCCACAGCTGTGGCTGCTCCCTTAATCAGCCTGGGCTTTTCCCCTACAGCCCCAGCCCTCTCCCAGGGCTGGCCTCAGCCCTGTCAGGGCCAGAGCAGGTAACCACCCTGCTACACCATGGTTTCGTGCTTCAGTAGACTGAGCTTCTCTGTGATTTTTTCCCCAGTGAATTGTTGGAAAACTTGTCTGTCCTTCTGGGCACACAGAGGGAAATGTGGGAATGCATTCTCACAGTCTTGGTACCTGTGATGTCATTTTTCTACTGGTTCTCCAAATGTCCATGATGTCTTCCAGGAAAAACAGGGTAGAAAAGACCTGAATTTCTCATGTAAAAAATAAGTAGGGGAAAAAACAAACTTATTTTAGAAAAAAATCAGACCTTTGTGCCTCAGAAGATGCCAAAAATGGCACAAATCTATTTTCTTTCCCCTACTCTCAACATCCAAATGAGATAATCAGATACTATAGCGATGGGCAGCAGGACAGAACACTAAGAAGCACTTGGCATAGGAACAAAACTGGACCTATAATTTTTTTATTTTTCAAGAGGAAAAACAAACACTTAGCATATAGTATTTGACATTTGCCACAGTGACACACTCCAATAATGTACTGCATATACTTAAGGGGCAGAGAAAAAGTTTGGAGTGGATTTTGTGTCTAAATTTTCATCTTTGCATTATGAACTGTTTTTTGGGGGGATACTAATGAAGGTTTTTGTTTCAGTAACACTTCAAACCATTTTACAGTGCATTTATTGAAAATTAGCTTTCATGCACTTTGTGGAATAGCAGATAAGCTAATAATTTATCTTCATTATCGAATACGCTGTTCTGAAGTGCTAATGGAGTTGTTAATTTAGTCCAGTATCTATGGTCTTTGATTAAAGAGAATATATAGCAATTATCCAATTCATTTTACTAAATAAATGTGATAAGGCCAACTTAAATATTTTATTACTTAAAAGGTCTGGTTGGGTCAAAGAGCAGTTCAAGAATGTAATTTTATTTGATATTTTTTCTAGCTATGGCGAGCAGTAACCAAGATATGTCAGCCTGGTTCAGTCTGTTTGCAGACCTGGATCCCCTTTCAAATCCAGATGCCATTGGGCGCTCAGATGATGAACTCCTCAACGCTTGACTACAGTTACCCAATGGGCAAGCTCGTATTATGTCTCATGACAGCGGCCTTAAAATACAGAACCTTACTTCCTCATGCTTTTCAAGAGAGGATTTCAGATTCTAATCCAGACATCGAAACAACATCGAAACTGTAATCATAATGTCAGACAGTATAGTCCCAAACTACAGAGAAAGTATTAAGGGTGCTGTGGAGAGCATTAGAGGAAAGTCACTTTATCTTTGATGCCTTGGTTTTATGGCTATTTTCAATGTTGTATGAAAATATGGCAAGCTGTTCAGGATCAACACTGAAAAGGCTCAGTTTCATCAAGACAAAATTACAAGACAAGCAAAGCTAGATCAGACTAGTTACTTTCCTGCATGCCCCTTCCCCCCCAAAAAAGAGTTACCTTACGTCAATGTGAAGATGTTAATTTCCTGAAAATACTTCAGAACAGATAGTACCTTGGCTCTTTCACAGGACCTTCATTAACCCTCAGGAAGATTGTACATCTCAGGCCAGACCCTCTAATCTGGCCAATTAGAGGCAGGACTAATGGGGAGGGAGCAGAGGTGGTTTTACATTGTCTTTGTGACTTCCTGGTCCTGGGGAAAGGCATGGGCACGTTTGGCTCCCAGCACAACTTTGAACAGCCTCAGGGCTACTCTAAATTGCACTAAGCTGCCTGTGGTTCCAAGGGCCAGAGCACAGGAGTACTCCAGTCACATCCACTTTTTACAAGCTATTCCCTCTCTGGTAGGCCAGGAAAGACAGAGCCAGTAGACTAGATGTGAGAGAGCTGAGAGGATCCCTGGGTACCTGGTTAAACTGGCTTTATAGCCACTTTGCACTGACAGAGCAGCACAAAAGGCCGATACCACGGGCAGGACACAGCCTATTCATTCAATTAGCCTTAGACAAGAAAGCACAGGCCAAATTCTGCCTTTGTTTGTAACTGCAGGTACTTTAGAGGGGCTGCAGAGGTGGTAATCACAGCTGAAGCTGGCTTACAGTATATGCCATTAGAGTAGCAGTTATTCTAACAAGGAGCCATTTTATTCATCAGTTACAGAAGCTGTAAAACTATAAACCAGGTAGAGATGCAGAAGAATTACCCAGCTACTCCTCTGTAGAGACAGAATTTTTCATTGTATTGTTAAATAGAATAAGTATTTTGTTAAAAAGGGAACAAGTAGAGCTCACCTCTACATTTTGATCCTTTTAAGAGTGGGAGAGATTTAACACCTCATTACATGATCACCTGCAGCATGTTGGAGAACGCACTCCCCCACATGTACAGTAACTTCTTCTAATTTTTTTATTTTGAATTATAAATTAAATCTGGTTGGGCAAGTTTGTATCTTTTTACCTTCATGCTGTTTGCATGCTCTTCAGGTTGCTGGGAGCGCTTTACTGTGATTCAACAAGTTTCTTAAAGAGGAGTGTTAACGGATTGGCAGAATTAGGGTATGATGTAAATCTTGTTGTAATTAGGTGAGTGGATGATGTGTGATTCAGGTGCATGAGCGTACCTGCCCCCATCCCAGTTTGGCGGTGGTAGGGTCATAACTAAAGCCAGGTACCTGGTGTGGGGTCAGATTAGCCCCAGACAGATGGGGCTGTTCATTAAGACATAACCCTCAAGTTCCCCAAGACTCTTTGCAAGCCACAATGGAGGCCCTAATTTTCTTCTTAGTGCAAGACAAGGGATTCTTGGTACTTGTGACTGACACCCCCCAAATTCTAGCAAATCATGCTACTCTCAGCTCTGGATCACAAAGACACAGCAACAAGGTTGCTGCGGGGGATAGAAGAAACCTCTCTACAAGCCCATTTAACACATTGTTCAAATAGACACTCACTGCTGCACCATGGAAATCTATACTGTATTGCTAAACAGAAATGTCATTTGGACATAAAATATGAAGAAAAGCAAAACCAAAAATTGGTCACGTTCTTTGAAAATGAATGTAGGAATTAATGAGATTCCATGTTAGTGCTTGTCAGGATAAGCAGAAACTTTAGACTGGAGCTCCATTTTGCTTGCAGCAGTTCGTTTTCAGGCTAATATTGAAATACTTCATATAAGTAACTACACCAAGAGGGATGCAAAAAGTGTTATCTATTACAGATGTGCTTCTGTATCAAAACAAGTCCAAGAGTCTTTGATCTGTAGCAAGGTGCTGGGTGCGGGCTGAGGACCTTTTCTGATGCACATGCTTTTGCTGCACACCAAGGCCTTGTCTACACTAAAGGGAAAGGTCGATCTAAGCTACACAATTTGAGTTACGTGAATAGCGTAACTCAAATCGACGTAGCTTAAATCTACTTACTGCGGGGTCCACACTATGCCACGTCGACAGGAGATGCTCTCCTGTCGACTCCCCTTACTCTTCTCGATCAGGTGGAGTACAGGAGTCAACGAGAGAGAAATTGGCGGTCGATTTAGTGGGTCTTCACGAGACTCGCTAAATCAACTACTGATGCATTAATCGCCACAGCGCTTATCCTCCAGTAAGCATAGACAAGCCCTTAGAGGCAAGAATTTACATACCTCTGTACGCAGAAGAGTTTTGTGTTAACACTGTTAGGGGCCTGCCTAGTTTCCTACCACACATTGCATTGGGGAAGGTCTAGAATAGTTCTACATAGTCAAGGTAGATCTGGTGACCTTTCTTCTATTCAAAATAGTCAAGGGATTTGGGGGCAGCAGGGAGGAGAAGGGAAGGGAAGGGGCAAGTAGCGTCCCAGTGGTAAACTTTCTTTGAAGTGCTGGTATGTTGGTTGGGGAACAAGAGCAAGGCGAGACTGGGAAACAGTTGGAGTCTGAGCCCAGGGTTGATAGCTGGGAGTAGAAGGTTGTGGAACTAGGGCCTGGGTACTGCTAATGAATTGGGAAGTGATAAGGCTTACTCGTACGTGGCAGTTCTACTCGGGGAGAGGGGAAGGGAACTGGAGAAAAGGTGTAGTGATGATATATACAGATGGAATAGAATTTCCTCAGGAGTCTTGGGCAATGCAGCCTTCACCTGAGTATTTCTTTCAACCGTTGAGGGAAATGGGCAATCAATGGACTCCCCAAAGGCCACTCTAGCTCTTATAACATCTCCAGGAGTGATGGTTTCAGATAATATATAAAACTAATTGAAATTCTGGAAAGAGTAATTAAAATACAGAAATGAGGGGGAGGGGGAATTGTTCTTGTCACATGGAAAGAAAGCCCTTTCCCACCCCTCTGTTAAGCAATAGCAGAAAGGCAAGTCAGTCTCTCAGTTGTCCTGAGGACAATTTGTGGTGGGGGGGGGGGGAAGAAAACTAACAGTAATGTAAATTTTCCTACCCAATAATTTCCTTTCTGCTAGCAGCATCTCCCACAGTTCTGTTACATCTGACATCAAAATTGTGCCACAGTTTCTCAGTTGAATGCAGTAGCCTGAGGCAGAATGAAGGAAAGATAATATCCTGGGAGACAACAAAAGGAGAGTTCACTCTGGGGAGAAGTGTCTGTGGAGTTCTCAGCACCACCTTATCCTGGAACATGCAGTAAGTTTCCTGCATAGATAAGGCTGCCACCTGGGATAATCACCTAACAGACCTAATGATGACCAATAAACATGTTTTGATGGAGAGATAGAATGCTGATACTGAAGTCAGAGGGTTGAAGTAGTGAACTATTAGGGCTTTCAACACCAGTGGTAGGTCCCATTTTGGGAAGACTGACCTGACCACCAGTTTGGCCAATCTCACTACTCTTGAACCTGGATACTTGGGGGTTCTTCACTGAGGAACACAAGGATCCTGCTACTAGAACGCTACTGAGAGCTGATACCTGGCTGAAGATCTTTGTCCACGCCTTCTTGGTGGAAGTCTGAAATAGCTGGGATCCCTGCACCTTACTGCAGTGTGCTCCTGGCACCAGACACTGACCTTGGCCCGGATGGAGGAGTAGGCTTTTAGTGTAGAGACTCTCCTGGATGAGAGCCAAATCTCTTATGACTGGAATAGAGGCAGAGTGTTGCTAACACTTCTTTTTCAATAGCCAGGCTGAGAGTGGACGTTGGTCTGGAAGGAGAAGAGGACCTGGAAAAGAATGTCTGGTCTCACTAGTAGCTGTGATATTGGTTCCAGTTTCAGCTCTATTGGGTCATAAAACCAGAGTCTCCTTGGCCAGTGCGGGATTATCACTATAATCACGGCTTGTTCCCACTTTGTCCGGATACTTTCCCTAGCAATGGGAAGGATAGGTATGTGCATACCAGGCCTTAGGGCCATTTGTGTGCTAGAGCATCTATTTTTCGGGTGTAGTTCTTTGGACTTTTTGGGTTCCTTTTGATTTGCTAACAGGTTGGCTGACAGCAGACCGAACCTCTGCGAGATCAGGTTGAAAACTTCTTGTTTCAGACATGATTCCAAGTTTTTGACTTTGCATCTGCTCAGCCAATCCACTTTTTGGTTCAGGTCTCCTTTTATGTGAAGTGCTATTAAGGAAGAAAGACTGTTCTTCACATCTGATTATGTGTATTGCTTCTGCATGTAGCATCAGGCTCCTTGTCCCTCCTTGGTTAAGCAATGTATGTGACGCTGGTCGTCTTGTCAGACTGAACTAGGACGTGATTTCCCTCTAGGTGGCTCTGTACCCTCCATAGGTCCAGTTTAATAGCTCTCAATGCCAGGAGATTGGAGCCTTGGGAAGAGGAAACAGCATCAGATTCCTTGTGCTGTTTCAGGTCCCCAACCTGTCAGGCTGGCATTGGTTTTGAGAAGCAGAGGATCTGGAAGGTCTATGGGGAGGCCCTTGTGGACATACCCTAGAACTGTGCACCATCTTAAGGAGCAGAGTACCTGATTTGGGACCAGCACCTGATCTGTCATGCACTTGGGGAGTGGTCCCATACTTTGAGCAGGCAAGTCTGGACACATCCGAGGTGTGATCTTGTTGATGGAGTGATCCCAATGCATGATGCCAGGAAGCCCAGTAGCTGAAGACACCGAGCTAGGATATCATGCTCTTGGATAAGGGATCCTGGATCTTTTGGAACCTGTCAAGTGATGGGTAGATCTTCACCACCACGGTGCCCATGTCCACTTCCAGGTGAGTGATCCTTGCTGAAGGAATCAAGGAACTTTTTTGCTGTTTATTACTGGGCCACATGTCATAGATCCAGAATCTGAGTCATGGTGCTGTGCACTGAAGCCTGGATTGAGGCGCTTATTAGAATGATGTCCAGGAAGGGGTATAGGTGAGTGTGCGTGACGTGAACCTGGCTATGGTCACCCCAGGCATCTTTGTAAAGACACTGGGGGCCAAGCAGAGACTGAAAGTGAGCTTTTGGTATTGTCAGTGATCTGTTCCATAAGCAAATCTCAGAAGCCTGCAATTACATGGATGTATGGGAATTTGGATATAAGCATCTGCCAAATCCACTAAGGTCAGGAGGTTTCTTTGAGATAGGGAAGACACTGTAAAAGTAGAGTCTTCATCCAACAGTTTGTTTCCCTCATTCGCTTGTTAAGCCTCTTGAGGTCAAGGATGACTCTGACCCTTCCACCCCCCCCCTTGGGTTTCTGGATGATAAGTAGAAGAACTGTGAGAACTTCTCTTATGAGGGAACCTCGTTCTATCATTCCTATGTTCAGGAGATGAGAGATCTTGTTCCAGACCAGTTTGCATTGGTAGAGTTGCTGAGATGGGAGACTGGATGAAGAAGGGATAGGGTGAAGCCTGTATCTCCAGGGAGTAACCTTGACTCACTGGCTTGTCTGTGGTTGATGCAGACCATTCCTCTGAGAAATGGGTGATTTTGCCTCTTCTGTTCAGATCTGGGTAGAGGCACTTGTTGTTTTAATGGGGTTTTGGAAGCTGTGGAGCCTCCTCTGGGGTTTCTGCTCGAGCCTACATCCCAAGACTTTTCCTTGGCAGGTCTGCTGGCCTTCCTCTGAGACTTTTGTGAGGAGCATCTTTGCCTGAAGTCAGGTTTTTATTTCCTTCTTAAAGCACTCAATGCAGAAGGTAGGGACTGTTTGTATTTTGCAGTATTTTCTGCCACTATCTTACCTAATTTTGCTCCAAAGAGGAGATATCCCACTGTAACATTACCCAGTGTACAATCTGGACTGATGGATAGCTGTGTCCCCTCAAAAATTCTCCAACCTATGGTGCCTTCTACACTGCTTCACTGTGAGAGCAACCACTCCTGGTCTGCCCACACACAGCTTCCAGCATGTAAATCACCCCCAGCTATACTGTATGAGTGGCGTAGGCTGCCAGCCACTCAGCAATTAGGTTCCAGAGCAACACCAGCAAATTCCCAGTCCCAGACTTCCCCCCAGAAATGTGCGTGTCAGGGTGGTTTGTGTCTTTTAGGGCCCTAATGTCCCCCAGACAGGACATTGTATTTATCAGAAAAATGTGGCTGTGAGGGATACTCTGAGGGTGGTGGAAGAAGCTTCAAAATCCCTTCTGAGGGTGGCTTCCACTTTGCTGTCTGTTGGGTCCTAGGGAAGAATTCCCCTTCTGAAGGGATAACCATGTTCTGAGCTAGGAATGCTGCTGCAGCATCAACTTTTGGTACTTCAGTAATAGCATACATTGGTTCTTGGAGCTTGTAGAAACTAAGGTCATACCTGTTAATGAGTTAATCTTTTTCAGGTTTTTCCCATTCCTCTCAGATGACATCCTCAAAGGAGGAATGCACAGGAACCGCTCTCTTGAGGGAAGAAGAAAAGGAGTACTTGTGGCACCTTAGAGACTAACCAATTTATTTGAGCATGAGCTTTCGTGAGCTACAGCTCACTTCATCTGATGAAGTGAGCTGTAGCTCACGAAAGCTCATGCTCAAATAAATTGGTTAGTCTCTAAGGTGCCACAAGTACTCCTTTTCTTTTTGCAAATACAGACTAACACGGCTGTTCCTCTGAAACATCTCTTGAGGGAGCATTTTGAGGGGAGATATTTGCTTCAAGGCTTATCCTCAGGAGCCTGCTCAGGTTGGATCTTAACTGTGGACACAACTTTTTTGCATGTTGCCACAAATTTCTCAGGGGGAGAATTTTTTCGTTGCATTTTTCCAAGTCCTGCTCATATTTGGGGTCCGAACTTCTCCCCCGAAAGAGGAGAGGTCTGCATCAGAGGATGAATACCTTCTGGGGATTTTGGGGTACTTTTTCTTCCCCTTCTTGAGAGTTTGGGGAGGGGGGGCAGGGAGGCTAGACTTTTTGGTGTGTCCAAAAAGTCTTTATGGGCATGGGTGTCCAACTGTGGCCAGAGTGAGTACTTTTGCAGCTTGCCTTATGCAGACCCATTTTAAGACTTGTGGAGGAACTGGTAGCTCCTCAAGTGCTTTATCTTTACAGTCCTTTGTCATCCCAGAACTTACCCCCGGAGCCAGATGGATGAAGTCCTCCTCATCCTAGAGCAAAACAGGGAGATTCTCCTATCTCCTGGTCAGGTTTTTCTGTAGTAGAGTCATGCTTACTTGGGGCGGCGGCCTATCCAAATCAGAGCCTTGTGCCCAAGAGCATTAGGGTCGGCTAGCTGGGAACAGGCTGGGTATCATTCATCCTCTGCCAAGCCTGGAGAAGCTGCCTCACATATGGAGCACCATTTGGATTTTGCCCTGTGCTTGCATGGCTGCTCTGCCATGCCTGAAAGGGGCAGAAGAACTCGGCAGAGAGGCCCTGCACGGGAGGCTCTGGGTAGCTGTACTGTGACCTTGGGGCTCAAGCCCCAGGCCAGGAAAGAGGAGAGGAGGCTTGAAACAAAAGAAACAAATGCTCACTCCTGTCTGAAAGTGGATAGAAAATAATAAAGGCGAAAGAAAAGGGTGGGCGTTTGTGAACAGCCACTTGACTGCTGGCACCAGTGGGAGAAGGAGGTGTGGCCAGCTCGTGCTGTAAGCACAGCTTTGAACCATCTCTGGAAACTGAAGTGCAGGACAGCAGCGCAGACAACAATTGTGGGAGACACAAGACTGCAGAAATTTCAGCTCCAAGCGAATGCTGTGCAACAAGACAGGCGTCATACAGTTACTTACACAGAGCTACCTACACTGGCTTTTACCAAGCACAGTAGAGTGGTCACATTTAAGAGTTTGTCAGTTCCCTTACATAGCTACATATTACCTCTGTATTTGCAGTTTTCCCTAGGCATGCCCCACAGCAACTA